GCTGCACCTCACAATATCTAACCTATTTCTCCTCCCAGCCCCTCGGTGAGGTAAAGCAATGCAGTTATCCCCTCAATTACCTGAAGAGGGGTTCCAAAGGGGATGGAGCTAGGCTGTTCTCAGTGGTGGCAGATGCCAGAACAAGGAGCAATGGTCTCAAGTTGCTGGGGGGCGGGGTCTAGGTTAGATACTAGGAAACACTACTTCGCCAGGAGGGTGGTGAAGCACTTTACCTAAGGAAGTGCTGGAATCTCCATCCCTAGAGGTTTTTAAGGTCCGGCTTGACAAAGCCCTGGCTGGGATGATTTAGTTGGGGTTGGACTAGATGGCCTCCTGAAGTCTCTTCCAACCCTAATATTCTATGATTGTACAGATGGGGCACTGAGGTACACACAGATTAAAGGGCAGATTTTCAAAGGTATTTAGGCACCTAGTGAGATTTTCAAATTACTTAGAAGGTTTGGTGCTTTGTAAACCCCACTGGATATCTAGCTACATCTTTGGGTGCCTAAAAGCCTTTCTGTCCTTAAAGCACTGGCCTTGGGTCAGACAGGAAGTCCATGGGGGGAGTAGAACTCAGGTCTCTCAGGGCTAGCTCCCTATCCAGCAGACCAGCCTCTCCCTCTCTCTCTGCTGCATGCTGCAAAAAAAGAGAACTCTGATAGATGGGAGAAAAACCAAGGTGGCCAGTTCTCTGAGACTCCAGCAAATGGTCCCAGGATGGATGTCATGGTTTACAGCATGAAAAGCAGCACAGAGGTTAGGAAGGATGGAGAATGAGAGTCAGATGAGAGGAGATCACTTAACTCCCAAGGGGTGGCAAGTTCTGCCCCACGCTGGGTTTTACAGCAATGGCTGCTGTGCAGTTTTACATTTTAACTGAAAACCATTTTGTTCAGTCATTTTTTGTTCTGAGTTTGAGAAAAGGAAGGAATGAGAAAGTGTCCTATAAGTATCAGATGTGTTTACGCCTCAAATTCTTAGTTTTTCAGCTGTATTCAGGCCAATTTCAGAGCAAAGAACAGAAACTGCATCCACAGAGTCCATAAAGTCAACAATTATTGTCATGATTTGCATTATTCACTGGGCACCATCTGTGTGCTCAGTACTGCCAGAAAATCCAGTCCCTGAGCCAATGCATATAAGATATGTAACTCTGGATAAGATGGCTCAGATATTTAAGTATGAAGTGTGTAGTTATTGACCACACGTTATCACATGTTCACTGTGAAGTTTGTATCTGTGAGTGGAGGCACTGATGGCAATTATGGTGACCAGATGTCCCAATTTTATAGGGACAGTCCCAATATTTGGGGTTTTGTCTTTTTTGACTCCTATTACCCTCCACCCCCGTCCCGATTTTTCACACTTGCTGTCTGGTCACCCTAATGGCAATAGAAGTTTTAATTGATTAAGGACTAGAAGATTTGACCCTCCAACTTTCTTTCTAAAGGAACAGCTGCCCAGAGCTCCTGTGCCTGTTTGTTTTCCTTTTCTGACTGCAGTGGTCCTGATATAGCAAGTCTCGGGGATTTTTCCCTCAACTTTAAAATACGGAATTTTCTTGGTGTTTGGTTTTAAGTAGTCTCCTGTGAGAACTGCACCTCAGTCACTGTAGTGTTGTGTTTTTAGAGCCTTCTGGAAAGTAACTCGCCCTTAAACAGACGTAAAAGCAGCGTTGTCAAGTCTCATGATAATTGTTTTCCTTAAAGCCCCAGCTCCTGGAGTCACTTGGATATGTGATGATTTCAACCTTCATTCTGAAAGAAAAATGAAGTTTCTAGTCCTCGTGGCTACGCAGAAAGCTTCAAAATGTGACCCCAGTGCACCCTAAAGGCTCAAAAAGTGGGAGGCAAATTAAAAAGAACCACACATCTGTTGTTTGTACATAATCTCATGATTTTAAAGCCAGTCTCATGATTTTTGGGGAGTCTGATTCATGATTTTTGAACATTTGGGATTGGCAGTGATGTGAAAGTGTCAGTTTCACTCCTGTTTAAAGTTAGTTTCTAGTCTATTGTTTGTAGTGAGGTAGCACCTCTAGAGCCTAAGGCAGATGCCTTGCCCTAATAGGACGTTTACAAAGTTAAATGATCTGTTCCAAGCTTGAAGAACTGCAAAAAAGTGATAGGAAGTAATCTAGATTTTTCTATAATTGTTTCAATTGTTGTATTCAAGAATTAGTAACAAAGCATATGCATTAACATTTTAAACCTAACCAGTGTTCCTTAAGTGGCTTGACACAAGATGTGAGAATATGTTAGTATTAGAGCTGAGTGGGTCTAATATTTATTAAATCCTCTTTTTTTTTTTTTAGGAATTAGATACAGTACTCCAATCAGCTAATTTCTAAGTTATCTGCAAAAAACCCCCTTGAGTTTTCAGGTGACTAAGTAGCCCTTGGAATCACGGTTGAAGTTACGTGCCCCTGACCTAGGAACCATGGACCAGTACAGCCCAGAGGGGAAATGGAAGAAGTATAAATCACATAAAATAGATGTGTAAATAAAGTTTAGTAGCTGAAAGAACCTAAGTGGGGTGAAGTTAATGGAATTCACAATAAAGCTCAAAATGTCAGTGCAATTAAAAAAAATACTGTTGATCAATTTGGGCTGAAAAAGGGACATTTACAGCAAATGGAGACTATTTTAGCAGATCTCAGGAGGCAGGCAGGCCCACAATCAAAAGTTTTAACAAGGGATTTGATTTTACACATTCACTACAGTGTCTTTACCAGACAGCAAACCTAATCTCTAGCCTTGGGTAGGTTGTCTAATATGCCTTTGAGTATTTGTGCACTGTATGAATTCAGGTTTCAGAGTAACAGCCATGTTAGTCTGTATTCGCAAAAAGAAAAGGAGTACTTGTGGCAGCTTAGAGACTAACCAATTTATTTGAGCATGAGCTTTCGTGAGCTACAGCTCACTTCATCGGATGCATACCGTGGAAGCTGCAGAAGACATTATATACACACAGAGACCATGAAACAATACCTCCTCCCACCCCACTGTCCTGCTGGTAATAGCTTATCTAAAGTGATCATCAAGTTGGGCCATTTCCAGCACAAATCCAGGTTTTCTCACCCTCCGCCCCCCTGCCCCCCCCCTCACTCTCCTGCTGGTAATAGCCTGAAGAATAGCTGGTAATATTACCAGCAGGAGAGTGAGTTTGTGGGGGGGGGGGCGCGGAGGGTGAGAAAACCTGGATTTGTGCTGGAAATGGCCCAACTTGATGATCACTTTAGATAAGCTATTACCAGCAGGACAGTGGGGTGGGAGGAGGTATTGTTTCATGGTCTCTGTGTGTATATAATGTCTTCTGCAGCTTCCACGGTATGCATCCGATGAAGTGAGCTGTAGCTCACGAAAGCTCATGCTCAAATAAATTGGTTAGTCTCTAAGGTGCCACAAGTACTCCTTTTCTTTTTGTATGAATTCAGGGTTCCAGCACCTTTTGTGTCTAGAAATTAAAGATGCCCTTGGCAGCAAATAACCTAAATGCAATGCCAGAGCTGCTCCCAAGAGCTCTTGATACTTTATGCTGAAAAATACCCATGCTCCCCTCTTAGTCACTACAGTGGATAATTGTATAGTCTCATTGGTAGCATGATAGCTTTGTGTGTGTGTAATGAACATATGTTAAAAGAACATTATTAAGTTTGCAAAGGACTCAAAAGTTAGGAAATGCTAGAACTATGCAGTCTCTAATTACATGACATACTCCTTTTTTCCACAAGACCTTGTGCATTCAGTGCACAGAATGAATGTAATGAGCACCTATTCACTATCTTGTTTTTTCCTCACTGTTCGCCCTGTGTAGCCCTGGGTCTTATTTATTGAATGCTATTCAAACCCTGCTCTGAAGACAGAATTATTCATTTCCTTTTGGGTTTTTCCGTGGCAATCATCACTATATTATCTGAGTGCTTCAAAACCATGACTTTATCTTCACAACACCCCTGTGTGATAAGTTGATATTATCCCCATTTTACAAATGGTGAATGGAGATAGAGTGCTGAAGGTCAAAAGTTTCCAGTAATTTTGGGTGCCCAACTTGAGGCACCAAGCACTTGATCTTTCAGAGTACTTGCCATTATATAGCACTTTATATGTTCAAAGCACAGCTCCCATTGACTTGATTTGCAGCTGTGAGTGCTCATCACGTCTACAAATCAGATCCTGGCAATCAAGTTGAGCACCCAGAAAATGAGAAACACACAACTACTGACCACTTATGAATCGTTTGGTTTCAGTGACTTGCCCAGCATCACATAGGAACTTAGGCAGAGATAAAGGATGGAATCCAGTATTCCAGGGCAGCACTCAACTGCCTTAACCATGAGACCCTCCTTTCTTTTCCTGCAGTATGTGACTCTGATTGTTATTTTGGATGCTAGTGAAGTCTTCCTCTTTAGTTATTGATTTCTCCCTCTTTTATGTAGCAAGTCTTCCTGCAATTTTTTTTAATAAAGAGAATTTTTAAATAAAAACAAATAATGTTTTGATTAGCAAATTACCTAGTTATCCTAGGTCCACCATGTTTGTATTTAATTTTTCTATATATATTAGCTTTAGGTTTAACTTCTCTTTATAGTGTTTACTATCTGAGTTGCCATCTTAAATATATAATATATAGAACATGTTATATGCTAATATCTTCTTCCATGCATCTCTTTTCCTAACTGTGGATATTGCACATTCTGCTCTTATATGAGAGAGATGTAGTGTGGACAAGACCATCCCCAGTGATGATCTGATGTTTGTCCATATTTCTTTTTATCCTACATGTGAATTGTTACTGTTTTGCTTTTAAAAAAAATCAATTTAACAAAAGTTTAACCTCATAAAACTAAATCCGGCATTATCAAAGTAGTATAAAGAAAAATATTTTCCTCCTTTACATCTAACAGAAGGAACTTTGTTGAACGTGATCTATATTCTTGCAAGTCCAAATTTTATGGATAACTGACTCCTTTTTTCACTCCTTGTATCCTGGTGCAGAGAGAAGAAACTGAAAGGGAGAGTGCAAGAGTTAGTGAATGCCTTAGAAAGACTCACGAAGAGCAGCGAAATCAGACATCAGCAGTCTGCTGAGTTTGTTAATGACCTGAAAAGGGCAAACAGGTAAAGGATCTTCTAGTGAATGGATGTACACATTGACTTCTGGTGCATTCTGGTAGTGCACTGTAATCCTCTCCTTTCCCTAATGAGCAGTTTTTACATCCTCAGCTGCTTGCCAGTAGTCTCGAAGAATGCAAGGTCAGAGTTGGGGGAAGAGACTAATCCTTCTCACTGAGTGCCCATTAACCAGTGGGGGGGAGGGGGGAGAAAGAGATTCTATTGCAGTTAAAAATGGCATCCATTATAAAACAATTTTCAGTTTAATCATGTTTGTGAATTATTGCTGTTTTTGCTCACCTCCTCCCTGGGCTGGCTCATGCATCTCTTCTTATCCCTTCAGATTCTCCTGTTATCAAGTTTCCTTCCATAAACCCACTCAGTACTTAAAAGTGTAGCACTGACAGTGAAACAGACTGTGCCTCCATCTCCATGGGCTTTGATGGACTGAGGGTTACAATTGTTGTTGGTCCACTTCCTTCAAGGAGTCATCCATTCACCATGTAATTTGTCACTCATGAGCCATACTTTACCTGTTACAGAAAGTCTTGGCCATTGACGTGATGGGCAAGACTTGATCTTCAACCAGCACCCATTTGGTGTCTCCTACTGAGCGAAAGGGGAGGTTGAAGAGAGGGCATTTGGCAACTAAATGTAATACATTGTTGACTTCAAAGGGACACTCTCAAGATCTATCTAGGCACTTATAGGGCCTTCATCATTGTAATACCTGATCACATCATGCTCATCAGTGCATTACCTTTCAGGGAAGTACTATTATCCCCATTTTACAGGTGCAGAACTGAAGCACAGAAATTAAATGACTTGCCCAGGTTCATGCCTGGGGTAGGATTTGAACCGAGGTTTCACAAGGCCCTCTCCCGTTCCCTATCCACCAGACCTTCCTCCCTGCTCCAGAATTCACCTTCCTTCTTATAAATAATGCGGCCTTCAGAATAGAAAATACTTTAATTCCTTTTTGTACTTCATATACTATGGAGAGACTAGACTCATCAATGTCAACTTCTAGTTCTCAGGCACTAACACACCTTTGTTGATTCCCTACACTTTTTGGATAGGCTTGTCAGGGGACAAAAGCAGTAAAAAAAACCTCATCCATTGAACTGTTTGTGATTATTATTATTATTATTATTTATTATTAAATTAAAACATTTATATTCTATAAATCTTTATTTACAATATCTACATTTTGATCATATACCTACCTGACAGTGTCCCCTTAACAAAGCACTTTGTGATATGCACCTAGGGCCCAGTCCTCGGTGATATACTGAGCAGCCTCTACTCACACTCACACCAGGGAGGTGCGGGTGCTCAGTACCTCAAACAATTGGGCCCACAATCCTCAGACATCATATGATAACCTGGAACTGCATAGCGCACTAGTGCAGCAAGCATATAGTGATGCATCACAATAAATGATCACAGTTAGATATGTTGCTTTAATGCCACAGACACTAATAAAACACCAAGAGCTACTCTGACGTAGATATTTTCATTCACTAGTTAGACCCTTTTCTCCCTGATCTATGATTTGGGCCTCTGACCCTTTCATTTGATAATTTTTTATTTTGTGGGAGGAACATTAGTTCTCTTATGGCTGAGACTTTTAATAAACAAGGTCTTGACTTGTGAGACTCGTTTTATATTAAATTTTAGGGAGAGGAATCCTTGGTCACTTTCGAAAATTTGGCAACTGATTTTGGGTGTCTGTTTCTAGGTGCTTAACTTGAGCTAGCGTTGTTGAATGATCTTGTATTGCTGTCTGTTTCTAACAGTAACCTTGTGGCAGCTTATGAAAAAGCAAAGAAGAAGCATCAAAACAAATTGAAGAAACTGGAGTCACAAATGATGGCCATGGTTGAGAGGCATGAGACTCAAGTGAGGATGCTCAAACAAAGAATAGCATTGCTGGAGGAGGAGAACTCAAGACCTCACACTAATGAAACTTCGCTTTAAAATTCTCTATATATAATGTGACAATTAGTGCCATTAAAAAGTTGGGGTTTTTTGACTGATTTTAGGTAGTGAACACTATTAAGGATCTGAAACATAACAGGCATAGATCAGCCTTGTGTGGCTTTGTCAAATCAAGCCAGGAGAACTGGGGAGACTATTTTAAGCTTAAGCAAAGGATTGTTTATTGATGACTGCTTGAAATGGACAGTGTCTGAAGGTAAAGTTTCCCATCATACCAAGGTTATGTTCATGGTATATGTAATTATGTACATACACACACATGCAGGATTATCTCCCATCTTCATCCTAATGGGTGGGAGTCCCTCCACACTTTCATTTTGATCTTGATGCATTCCCTTGCTTTTAATTTACTCCCAAGACAAGGCCAAAATAGCACTCATTCAGATGCTTTTGTATGTTTGTTTGGGCACAGAGTAAGCCAGTTTGATAGATCTCCCAGCCACCATGTTTTCTTTGTCCTGAAATCTTGCAGTAAGACTTGCTGTTACAGCTATTGTATATGTGTATTTGGTGAGGGGAGGTGTGCAAGATGACAGCATGGTTCGTACCCTGCACCAAACTTGCAGTTCTCCACACCGCACACAGTCCAACAGATGTAGGAGGAGAACTCCTGTTAATTCGGAGATGTTTTACCCAGGCAGGATTCCTGAACACAGCAACTAGAAAGCTCTTGCTGCAAGTCTACAGTTCTGCTTTATTTCTTATGCCCTTACAGGCTCTGTGTGGCCACATGCTTTCTGTTTACAGTGCAGGGGGTGTGGGCCGAGATTGGGTAGGAAGTTACAAGGAAGTTTTTGTCCTTCATGTTCTAGGGTAGTGCTGACAGTCAATTTAGAAAAAGTTGGATTTATTTTTCTAAAATACATTATAGACAAGGTTTTCCTCAGAGAAGCCTCTGTCAGATGCAGAGTAGTATTAGACCAGCATAACGTTCCATTACACCTGTGTGTCACCAAGAGGCAGAAACTCTCTCTGCACTTACTATGTAGTACAAAAAGGTACTTCTTTATAAGGAATGTACCTATTCAATATTAAAATAAATGCACATGAATGTGCGTATACATGTAGATAGATACACACACATACAAAATGAGTGAGCAAATGGCTGGCTCTTAGTACTATGTGAGTAGAAGTTATATGAACACAGCCTTCTGATGGCTGTTGTAAAATTACATTTATAGGCTATATTTTAATAAGTTACTGTTATAATGTAGGTGGACTTCTCTGTTCAAGCCAGTTGGTTTCTTATGCCATGCTAGCTAGCACATGGTAAGACTGAATGAGTCTGGTGTTTTTAGTAGAGGCTGAGTGAAGCACAGAGATCAGGTTGCCACCTCTAGGAAGCAGAAGGTGTAGTCTCAGACATGGCATGCATCCCAGCTCCTTTGGGCCTTGTTCACAGGACTTTTGTGTTTTCACTGTCACAGAGATTATCTGAACACTTAAAATAAAACAACCCACCCTTATCAGTTTAATCAACCTAGAGTCAATTAACTTTTTTGTCATTACTACAGCGCTGGTATGTTTATTATTGGTCAAGCTTGAGGTGCTTTCCTTGGCAAATGGATTTACAAAAGTCTGCTGTCATTCCCACCTGTCACACAGGAATTTGTTGTGTTTTGGGACTTGTCTTGAGTTTCCTAGACCTGTTTAGATTGATGTGAATTTCTCTCTAAAGGCTTGTTTAGCTTTAAAAGTATTTCCAGAGAGCTGTGGCTATGGTTCTCTATGCTGAGTAACCCTTTGCTAGATTAAGCCTTTAGCCTTCCTGGCTGGATCATGCTTTGCTGCTTCTAGATGTTAAGCAGGGACAATGAGGGGATTTACTTTCAGCTTTTTAGGGAGCAGGTCAAAAACAGCCTTAGCTGAGATTTAAATGGCAGTGGTTCTTAATGCTGGTTTCTAATGCTCTCCTTCCTTTTGGCAACTGTTGTTCTCTTTCCTTAAAAGTAGTGAAGGTTGAGTAGCAAATCTGAGACAACATAAGCTGCAACAATGCCAAACCCAGTCTCCTGCGTACACCAGTATAAATGAAAAAGACAGCATTACTTACAAACGAAGGGCCACCTCGTAGAGCCCTGCTACCTGACTTGAAACTACAGGGACCCAACTACATGTGTTGGGTCTGGGTCAGGTGGGAAAGCAAGCGGCCCCTTAGGGGGTTAGGGTGGGAGTGGCTGCGTGCTCCACCATGCTGCACTGCATGTATTGTAGAGTGTCTGTGCTGAGGAGCTGCAGATTCTCACTCCACAGTACATACAGCGCAGCAGGGAGGAGTGGATATTAAGACCAGTGCATGATGCCCTCCCTGAACAAACCCTGAGGCAGAAGGAGAGCTGGGAGGGGTGTGGGTCTGAAAACAACTCGATCCTCTCAGGACTGATCTGTCAGGCTTAAACGTTAGGCCCAAGCCAACCTGTACCACCTTTTAGTTTGGGTGGGGCCACTCCCCTTTACCTACAGAACTGTATAATCTCCCACTTTGAACTGCAAATCCCATCCTCTAAGCAATATTCATATTGATTTTCCAATGTCTGAGTGCAGTTCTGTCCATAGAATTGTTTTGCTAAGCTAGAACTGTCCTTCACTGCAGCAGAAAGTTTTTTTTGGGGGGGGGCAAGATCCATGTTAAAAAAAATTTTATTTTGCCCACAAATGTCCTCAACAGTGGACATTTTTCCTGACTGAATGAAGAGGGCTTGAAAGGAAGAACCCGTCTTTAAAATGAGGCAGAAAAAGCTGTGTAAGTAGTTTCTATATTTTGGGTCCAGCACCCCATTCACTAAAATAAGTGAGTTTTGTCATGGGCCTTTAGTTGAAGCAGGATCAGACTACGTGCCTCTGTTTATCATTGGGAAAACTTTTCTGGTGCTAAAAGACTGTGTGCACAACCCTACACAGTATGAGAGATGCACTAAGCCAGTTCCCACAGGTTCAAGGACTCAAGTCATCAACCTTGTTACCTCCTTGAGATCAGCCCTACATTAACTGTGACCTAAGGACTTGACTTGAACACTGCTGCTTAAGTCTAGATGTAAGTGGCTAGATAATGGGTGCAAAGTTCACATTAGCTTTAGCAGGAGTTTTGGATAAGTAAAGGCTGCAGCTGCTTGCTTGTACTAAATGCCCCAAGCATTTGCTTTCCCATTTATAATATGCAGCCAAAACTTTGGGCTGGGGCAGTTTGGATTATATACCTAACACCAGTTAGGCTCCTTGCTAACCCAGTTTGTTTAACAAAATTCTGAGTAAGCTAAAGCAATCTCCATGCTGGAAACATGTATTTGTGCAGGAGGCACCCACTACTTGACCAGCACTGAGAGCTGACTTTGAAATAGATAAAAAAACCAAAACCAACAGGCATATGGTTCAGGGCTACAAAAGGGACACAGTGACATGGTTCACAGTTCCTGGTTCCTTTGTAATTTGTGTGAGGGAAGAAAGCAAGTTACTGTTCTCTTTATTCCTGCTACTGGGGTTCAGCATTAGATCCCTGACCTCCTCACCATGGTATCTGAGTGCCTTCCATTAAGCAAAGTTACTAAGATCTGTCACTGGTGGTTAGTTCTCTCTCAAGGGAGTGCTTTTAAGTTGTTTAAATGAAAATGCTGCCCTGTTTATATATTAGAAAAGGCAAGGGTGAGGTGTGATGTGCTTAACTCCTTCAGGAATGTGTTGCAGAATTGGGTAGGCTCCCTAGAACCCATGGCTGTGGCTTTAGCCTTAAAATAGAAATGGCCCCTGTGCTCCTGCAGCCAAGTTGTTGACCACAGTCTTGAGCCGACAAGGACAGATCCTGATGTAATATTCTGTGGGAAATCACTGTGGAGACTCAGCAATAACAAATCTAGAACAAGCACCTGAGACAGCTGAAATTCTTCCACATATAGGTTTGGCTACCCCACGTTGCTGGATTGTTTTTCCTAGTATCAGTTTTAGGAGGCATGTTCACAGCTGTACAACATATAACAATTGCTGATAGTGTCTCTTACTAAGTTGAAAAGCAAGGGATTTTAGGTTGTTTTTTTCCTTCAATAAGCGTGAAAGGGGTTTCTGTTTAATAGAGGGTTTACTGTTTTGAATTAAGTAGAAGTTTTTATATCACTTCAAATCTAGGCTTTGCCTTCTCAATCCAAAATAGAGCTGAGCAGAACCTGTCCTGTATATAGATGATTTCATTAGGCAGGAATATTGAGCCAGCACCTTACTCAGATTTCTAAGGGATGAGGAATGATGTACAAGTTTTCTATTACATATTATTTTGTGATAGTGCCAATTCTAACCTACCTTTTAAGTTTGTTTTTAGCAGATCTGTTTTATTTCAAATACATTTTAAGAACGCTGTAAAGGTGTAAGTTTACAGGAAATAATCATATCAAGGTGATTAAAGGTAACCTACCCAACATTTCTTCCATGATGTTGATGAGCAAGACCCTATTTGCTTTGTCACAGCCTCTCCTATGGAGTCTTCAACGGTTAAAAGGGAGATGTGGGTACCTACAAAGTACTGCTTAATTTGTTAGTATATTAGAAATGGGAGTGGGGAATAGGACCAATGGGAAATAGTGGTGAAATAGCTTAACACCAATCAAGAATGTGTGTTATATGTTTTAGTGCTTCTTGTAATAGGTTAAAAGTAGCCGTAGCCCTAGTGTACCAGTTACAAAAGTGACCACCTTAAAACAGTAAATTCCAAAAACTAATAGTGTACAACTGTTTGAAACACCAGCTCGAAGTATTATGTAGTCTATCTAAACTGACAAGTGTGCATTCTAACTTCTTCAGAAGTAACTTACATCAACTGTAGACACTGCAACCCAACTCCCACAAAACAACTCATTTGAGTTCAATAGCTGAGTTAGGTTCTATTTATAAGAACCTAGTCAATTCTCCTCCAGTCTCTTAACAGACAAGTGCAACAGTGTATTAATTTGTATCTTGTTCTAATGACTTTTAAAAATTGTCTGAGTGTCAAATAGTGCATGAAATTTTATATTTCATATTGTTCTGAAAAAGTACTTTTCTAATTAAAAAGGTTTACACCAGCTTGAATGTATTGTTAGTTATTACAAAGCACATGTGACTAAGTTTGCATTAATCTCAGTATTCCACTGTTTATATGGGAAGTTTTTCATTTAAAAATGTCACTGAACATTGTACTATATGTTGTAATTTTAGAGACTTTTCACCTAATTGATTTGCTTTAAATGTGTTCTGCTTTTTTAGTTCCTTAGCTGCTGTAAAATAGTTATTTTGTTTATTTGATATAGAATTGTAAAAACAGCATTTATTTATACAGAGACATTTATAATACTTTTTATTTTACAAATGTTCCTATATTCTGAATAAATATTTCTAATGCTAAAGTATGTGTTTCACTTGTTAGCTTCAGTCCCATAACTAGTTACATACACTCTAAAAAACTTAAGCCTTCAATACATGGTTGATAGGTGGTACAGACTAAACGAACCTACCTCTTTTGACAACACTGTGAAAAAAAATCTTAATGTCCTTAAATGTCAGTCCTAAGATTAAAGTGGAGTTGTTCTGTTTTTCTAGTAGAAAAACAGAAGTTTTACCATGTTTCCATTCCCCCATACTTTGGAATTCTTTTAAAAAAAAAAAGCTGGGACAGCTTCCCAGGACTGTATTAAAAACTTAAAAGTAAGTCTGCAGCTACCTCATTCTCCTTTAAAACTCCTCTTCAAATTTAATATGAAAGTATACATTAAAAGGCAAACATTTTTAAATGGAAGGAGACAGTTGCACACGTTTGATTCTTTTAATGACAAATCACTCCATTTCACAAATACTTTAAAAGCGCGGATCGGGGTTTGACAGTAAATCCTCTCATCTAATGTTCCAAACCTATATCCTGCTCACATTGGTCTTTATAAAGTTCAGAATCCAGCTCCAGTCAGTTTTAACTTTAGCAATGCTTGCTATAAACTTTTATGCTCTTGTAAGTGGCACATGTAGAATCAGTGCTACTAATGGGCATTTAAGGCAATATATGTCAAAACATTCTGCAGTATAAGTATTCTGCTGCCCCAGGCAGCACAGACATGAAATTTCAAACCACCAACAGTTATGTTCATACTTCATTATTACAGTAACAATTTTATCCAGACAGTCAAATAATGCTTTAAAGAAACAGCCAATGACTCTAAATGTTAAAATTGTCTAACAAACAAAGTGCTTCAATTTCTGGATCAGTGAATGTACACAATGCTTCAAAAATGCATGTAATCTGTTAGTTCAGTTACAGATCTTACCTAAATCTGAAGAGTTGAACAGTGCTCTTCAGGACTAGCTCACAGAAACTGAATAAAACCTGTAACTTTGCGTGTTTAAATAAAATGTATTTGTAGTATTATACTAATTAAAGTCAGTGAAGATGGACCACATTCTTAAAGTACTACTCACACCTGGCCTATACAATAGAATACTTCCCGATCCCAGAACTAATCCCTGTCATTGCTTAAGTTTCTGCAAGACAATCACAGAACTTAGACATTTTTTGTACAGCATGGAATAATTTTTCTTTGGATATTCTGTGTGGTTGTCTGTTACAAGACAAATATATTTGCTCTCTAGAAATCAAGTAGCTTTTAGGATTTATTAGCATACCATTTCATCTAGTAGTTTTCTTATGTAACAGGATTGTTCTCAACTGGTGAGACTAAAAGGTGATCCCCTTCTACTGTAATAATTCTATCCAAATGTCCTCGAGAGCTTACAAGATTCAGTCACATTCTTGTCACAATCAGGAAATCAAATTAAGTTTTAATTATAGCATTTTATGTACATCATCTCATTTGAAAAATGTTGCATTTCTCATCACAAAATTTGCAGCACTCAACATTTAGAACATGATTTCTATATCTTATTAAAAGATATACAATCCAAACTTCATAGTAATATTAAAGACTAGCAAATTAAGTTAGTTTTCACCTCTTTGTATAATTCACCTTTTGAACAAAAAATTCATACAGTATGAATGTTTTAAACAATTTCATGGTATAGTTTTGTTAAATTAAATATGAACAAGTTATTTCTACACACAAGGTTTTTTCCTGCAGAATTACCAAATGGTATGTTTTTTCTTCCTATTCACCCAGAAATCATTTGAACAGATACCTTCCCAAGTAGTTGAGTAAAACTCCTTAAATCCCATCCTGCTCCCTCCCCAAATATCCTGTATGTGTTAGCTGGCAAACTATCAGGAGCATAGGCCTTTCTGTAATACAGAACATGCCATCATTTTGGTTCATGTTTCCTACAGATTGTCCTAAAACTGGAGTCACATTAGAAACCATGAAAGTCAATGTTTACAGTGACTTTAAAGTAAAAATGCAAAGTTAAACCCAAGCATTAGGTCAGTAGAAGAACATTTAAAATTGAGACATTTGTTCTTGCATGATCCTGAAGGAAGGAACTGCTACATATGCAGTGTCACACCCTCACAGTAAGGCTTATAACTTACTTGGAACAGTAGTGAAATGCACACTCGGCAAAGAACACACTGCATTTCTTATAGTGCTCATGTACAGTATAAAAAACAGTGCAAATACTACCTTTTAGCCCACTCTTGCTCTTTCCATTGTTGAAGAACATTGCTACAAACATTAAAAAAAAAAAAAAATGACCAGAGCTTACCTTTCCAAGCCTCATTTGCTGCAAGAGAGCCTTCACAGTGCACTTTCTATTATGGGTGAATTAATTTCATGTATAAAACTCCACATCTTAAATATTTTGGTTGCTGCAACACTAAAATGCTGAAGTGGACTCAAATTCAGTCCAGGGGAGTGGTTTTCAACCTGCGGTCTGCAGCCCCCTTGGTGTCCACAGACTATATCTAAGATTTCCTCCATTCAAAATTTTTTAGGGACCACAAATAAAAAAGGTTGAAAAAAAAAAAATCATTGGTCTAGCATAATTTCAAAAGCAGTTTGAAACCTATATCAACAAAACTAAAAACAACATCTTGTGCCTATGTTTAAACTGCAAACTACTTAAGTCTATAAAGGAGATTTACGCTATCCCACAAGCACACTTTTCCAAAAGTTTTGGCTTCCCAATATAGATTAGAATAAATTCCAGTAAATGTAGTTTTACAAGATTAGTGCACCTTGGGGTTAGCCCAGAGAAAAAAGACACTGGAATAACTCAAGACATTCTAGCTCCTAGACTGAAGTAGTCAGTATGATTTGTTAAATCACGATTTGAAATCAAGTAGCTAAAAAAAGAAAAGCTCACTGAGCTAACACTATAAAGCTGGCCATATGGCCCAACAGTAACACCTCAAGTTCCAACACGGATATAGAGCTTGATTCAGGCCAGCCAGAGATGAGGGCAGTGGGGGCTGGGGAGAGGAGGGCAAATCACACTGGAAAAAAAAACACTTCAAAATCAGTGATCACAGAAGAAAATGCACTTTTCATATTAAAATGACTGATTGGAAACATGTTAGGAATAGCCAGACTACACAGTTTGCCTTAACATTACATGCAGCATTTTAAACAAACCGAGTATAAACACAGCAAACGTTGTTTTTGTAGATCTCCAAAGTAAACTACGATCAGAGCACAGTATGTAAACCTGTAATTTTGTGAGAGAGAGAGAGAGAGAGAGAGAGAGAGACTTACTACAAACGAAACATACAGAAAGGGAAGCTTTTAATTGTGAAATAAGATAAAATATTTTTCCCCCTCCATACCTCTATCTCCATACCTCAAACTCTGTGCAGGATTCAATACCACACGTGTATTGAAAAATGGAAATTTTTAAAGACTACCAAGTTACAGAACATGCTAAAATTAGTCTATAGTCTCAAAATCCTCCAAAAATTAAAAACCTATGTGAACTAATTCCAGAATTTCCAGTACCTGCATTGAGCTTTTTGTCCATTAAACATTCTTCCTCATAATTTCATAAGTGTCTTAACTTCAAGGTTACAGATGAGTGAGTCACAATTTGATTACCAACTGCAGGTGAGTGTTGCAACTTGTTTTATTCCAAGCACAGTAGACTGACATGCTTACTTTTCAAGCATCTTCACACCAACAAGCGCTTAGATCTCCGAAATCCATTCACAACCAATTTCACTAGATAATCTTGCCGCTCCAAATGCCCACCCACACACAAAAACAAAACAAAAAAAATCCACTGAATGAAACTCAATCATCCATTTGCTATTTCTTCACTCTTTTACAAACATTCCTGTAAGGTGTACTCCTACACTTTGGAATACAAGTATAAAATGATTCATTTAACATTTTGAACATGAAACACATAAAAAAGACATACAAAACTAGTAAGAGTAAACAATCTGAAACGTTCACAGTGCAGGGCACCCTGAAACCCAAATGCAGGTCATATACAAACACATTTAATAAGCTGTTTGAGACCTCAAGAAGGAAGGAAACTATGTCAATACAAATATGAACATTCTGAATTCATATTTCTGAAACAGTACCTTGTACACAAAGAAATAGAAGTTATTGCATATTTATCAAATTTATTTATAACTCTCACACTGATGCTAGATTTCATAAAATCAGGCCTGTTTTCTGCAGCCTTTGTTTGGGATTTGTCAGTGAGGAAGCCAGGTATTTTTGTAATTAATGAAAACTTTTGCTTTAAAAAAAAAAAAATCTACACTTAGTGATCCCAGTAAGGCATATCCCATTTATGCACATTTTTCTCATATTGCTATGAGCCATTTCACATCCCAAACTGTCATCAAGTGGAAGTTTCAAGTTTAAAATTCACACAGCTCTATAAATCTTCCCCTTATTAATCCATGGTGCATTAAGTGAAGAATCATAAAAGGAACATATCTGAAAAGTCAACCTACCTATCAGAAATAAAAATTTCCAAAGCTTGATTTTTTAATCATGCGTTGAGAGTCTCATTAAACTCACTGGCATTAGCAGCCTGGAGGTCAGAGTGCTAACTTCTGATTCCTTAGGAGCTAGACACTTATTGCTGGGAAATCAACTACTTACACTAAGAGGACTGAACAAAGCTTTGGTTTTCATTTGGATCTGAATAGGTAAATTGACAAATTCATCCCTCCTGCCCCCCCGCAACTTTACTATTCAGCCCTCTCAATTAAATAACAGGACATATGCATTTAGGCACAGATCTTCAAAAGGTATTAGACACCTAACTCCCACTGACATTACTGGAAGTTAGGCAACCCGAATAACTTTGAGGATCTGGGCCTTACTGATTTAAGCAACCTCTGAACATTATTTCTGGCTGTCAACCCACTGCCACCACCACACCAGGGTGAAGCAAAAGAGTCACTTCAACAACTGAAGAAAAACTATTCTAAAAGTAAACTGACCTGTTGTAAGACTTTCTTATCCAAATGGAAAAACTGGAATCTATTTCTCCTGTTAACTGATACAGGAGTCCAGCTTTCCTGGCTAATGGGAAATGTTTTAACAACTGAAAATTACTAGATTCCCTAGCCCAAAGGGATGAAAAGATTAGAAGATAAAAATAAGCTAACACGCTATTTATTGAGGGCAAATATAAGATAATAGATATTATAGGGTATTTGCAAGAAGACAGGGATTGTGTTTAGTGGATACCACACCAAAGATATAAAAGGGTGTCTGTGGGTGACATATCTTCTGTGGTTAGAAAATGTACAAAGCCTTGGAACAGCCACTGATAGACAATTTAGTCATTCAGTCCTCCAAATTACACATCACAGCCACCTACCTTAATTTTAGAGAACCATCCACTTTAAAAAAAAAAGAAGAACAAGAGAGAAAAATATAGGTACTGGCTGCTGAGACAAGTGAGGAGCTTCATTTGCCCCCAGTCCCCAATAAAATGCTTTTGAAATGTATATTCAAAACTCTCTCAAGTGAATCATGATGCAAGAATGTATGACTAGTGATTTTTTTCCCCCACTTAGTATCATTTGCATTCCTACTGCTAATTTTTTCACATCTTCAATATACTTATTATTAAAAGGCTGTAGCCTCATTCATTTTTAGTTACAGTTTTCAGATACTGAGATGCAAGTGCAATATCAAATGCTATACTATTGGAGAGAGAGAACGAACACACATGACACTAGACACCTCCAAGGACAATAGTATAGAACACAATAATGGACACTTAGAACAGTTGTTGCAAACTTGATTAAGCCATTAGGTGGCACATGACGTTCTCTAGTCATCCACACATCTACCTCAATCCTCCCCTTCTCTCAGCAGGACCTGCAGAGGCTTATTTACATTCAGCAACTACAAATGTTTAGTATATATAAGAATCCCCTCGCCACAAAATTTAACTTTTCCTTTCAACATCTTAAAAGCAGCTGCAAGTGAAAGAAGGCTTGTACCCATTTTGTCCTAGTGGAGAACAGTTCTAATGGACATAAAGGAAGAACAGAAACAAGTAAGTGTGAAAGGCCAAGTTCTGTTCAGCAAGCGTATCCCCACCGAAGACAGTCGAGGAAAAGGTGCAAGTCAGGGCAGAATGGGACCCCATGGATTTAGTTTTAAATTCTACTGACTGCAAGTCATTCTGAAATGAGTTTGAGCATGAGAGAGAGGAGAGAACATCGGCAGACAACCGGAGAGAAGAAGAGAGAGAACTGCAAAGATGAGGTCAAACTAGTAGACTTGAAATTCATAATTTTTTTTAAGCACAGATGCGCCAAGATTTCAACATTGCTGGGATAGAGAAGATGGGTGTCCTCTGAGAATTAATTTAATTGCTATACTACTGCAAAGTACCAGAAAATAAAGACTGAGTGTTCCAACAACTTTATATCAGAGCAGGTTCAAAGTTTAGTGTGTTAGTATACAGCCAACACTAAAATATTTCAAAGTTTAAAAAAAAAAAAAAATGCCCTCTCATGCAACAGCAGGAACTAGTGAACCAAACACTGGAAAGGTATTTTTGTGGATAAAGGCGGAACTGCATTTAAAGTGCGACACTTCACTATGCCACTTCCATACTGCAAAGAGAATGGACCCTTTCCAATCATCATTCAGTCCCTGCATTGCTTTAAAAATAAAAAAAATAAAAACACCTGAGAAGGAGTAAGGCTGGATTAGAAACCCACTCAACTGCAAAAGATCAGTCTTTGATTTTTGTTCATCCATAACAGGTTTGCTGTCAGAGGTCAAAACTTTTCATTATGGCATCATGGTCAAACTTGAAGCTCAAGAAAGCTCTTGATGAGAAAGTGATTTTGTAATGACCATTACATGCTACAGAGTATGCCTCTGTATGTTCCAGCAGGTCTTCAATGGAGAAACACACATCATACGCTGCTGCATCTGCTTAAAAAAAGAAAAAGAAAAAAAGAAAAAAATATGTTCTACCACTTAACTTTCAACTGTATTGATCAATGAAGAGGTCATTGAAAATATGCTACTATTTAGGTTTAAAAAGCTGAACATTAAATTTATGCTCAATTAGCATTTATTCACACTGGCAATTTTATCAGTTTGGTCATCATTTCAAACAAAAAGTGTAGCAAGGAATTCCTTAGCTTTATTGGCCACCTACTGGTCCAAACAAGTTTTGTAGGAGTTACATAAACAGCAGTTTTTACCCAAATGATTAATTCTCTTCTGCAAAGCCCAGGTTAGGGCAATAATTTTTTGCCAAGGTCCAAATTTCTTGGTCAAGGTATAGTCAAGGTCCAGACTCCAGAGAAAACAAGTAAATAAAAAGAGTTTACAGTCCATTCAAAAGTTTCAGGTGATCTGGATTTGGCTCGCAGTCTGCCTATTGACTACCCCGAGTTACGGTGACAAACTGCTTGGACACAGTCCCCTTCCGAAGTGGAGACCTGGAGAAGGGGCTGGAGAGCCCCGTGGGGGCCTTAAGTCAGGTGGTGGTAATTTCAGAAGTCCTTGCACCATCAGATACCCCAGCTCCTATACTACCATGAAAAGCCTTTTCAGTGATCTATTCAAATAGTCACCACCATGGCATGCCTCCCCGAGGCTCAGCCCAGATATACAGTGCTTTACTTTCTCCATCAATGGTGAACTATGAGCAACTGTATATTCCACCATCCTACAGATTTCACAACTAAGGAAAGGGATCTTAAACCTTCATTTAATAAAAGGTTTCCTTTTTCGGCACGTACTGTAGTAAGTGGATGCAGTCTCAAAAATTGTTTCAAATTAATGTGTTCACATACAAAATGAAAATTAATATACTTGCCTGTTTCAAAGTTATCCTGAAGTCTTCTTGGATTAAGTTTTTTTTCACATTTCTGATTAAGAAAGTGAGCACATATTATACTCTACAAAATACATGCCTTAATTTTAACAGTACTCAAGGAAATAAATGTAACTGCTAATTAATACCAGACTGGTAAGTTCACTCAGCAATGACAACAATTCTTTAATTAGGCATTAAATATTTGTTTTAAATCAAAGCAGCTAGTTTATTATCGATCTAGCTTTAAAAAGTGAATTCTGTGATACTGCTATAAAGAATTCTCTAGCGAGCATACTCCTATAAATCTTTTGAAAGTGTGAAATAGGCAGTTCACACATGCCAACTCTCTTTTTTAAGCAATCTAACAAGCTTCTTTTCCTGTAAGTATTTGCTATTGCAGCCTGCTGAGAGCTGAAGACAAGCTATTTACTTACTCTCACAGCATAGGTATCGCACCAATATTTGAAATGGGAAACTTTATTAATGGAAATGCTTATTTGCTTAAAGAAAAAGGGGCAGATTGAGGTGCATTAAGGACATATTGTGAGGAATGCACACTCCAAGAGTAAGTGCTAACTGCAATTCGATCTACGCTGTACCCCTGTAGTGAATGAAGCAGTGCCCCACAGATTCCATGAAAATTGATGAAAAAAAAATCAGCCCTTGACGCACAATTGTGTTTCCGAATCTCAGTTTTCATTTAAAAAAAAGTTTTTCTAGCCTAATGGTTGTAAAGACAACATTTAAAACCTGAACCAAGCATAAACTGATGCATTAATACATGCCCAAGTCTACTCACTGCCTGTAACAAAAGCTAAAAAGTGTAAACTGCCCCATTCATCAAGGTCCCATGTACTCTATGCTTCCAAGGCTGTAGAATATGGCATTTTCCCAGAGTTTGCAGAAGTCTGCATTTCTTCTGTCGCCAACCTCCTGACATTTCGTTCTCTCCCCCCTGCCTTAGAATCATAGAATCATAGAATATAAGGGTTGGAAGGGACCCCAGAAGGTCATCTAGTCCAACCCCCTGCTCGAAGCAGGACCAATTCCCAGTTAAATCATCACCTTCCCAGGACCCATCCTGCAGCTCCCTGTTGCTCACTTGTTTTCTCCACAATGCATGCTCCCTACCTGTTACACGGAACCAGATAGCAGGGAATTGGGAAGTCAGAGCTGAAGTCAGATTTTCAGTCAAGAGGGGGGAGAACCAAAAAAGTGTAGGCTGGCAAGATGAGCTGCCTGGACAACAGTACAGCAAATGAGGCTTAAGAAGTCAGGGAGATAAGCCATTGAAGGTGGCTAAAAACGCCCTCTAGTCCCTGGCCCACTGGGGTGGGGGGATGGTGCAGTTTTCTGAGCTTGGCCAAATGGACAATATTGCAAGAGCCAAGGTACAGGTTGTAGAACCAGGCCACATGGAGAGCACGGTGAAAAACCCATCCTCAAAAAAATACCATGGTCAAAAACAGTCAGATACACTTTGTTAAGATTTTCCCTGACCAATGACCTAGCTGAGGGTGTTCGCGTGGCGGTAAGGAGATGGGAATTAATAGTATTTTACGGTGACTCACTAAGTTAACGTCATGGGATTCAGGGTTTGTTGAGGCAGAACTTGATCCCATTGTGCCATGGATATCGATTCAGAGCCCACACCTCAAACTGTAGCCAGGCAGAAAGGAGGGGAGTGACTAGGCATATACTTTACATTTTCAAACTCAGTGGTTTTGCCATACCACAGTAAAATATTTATCCACTCATTTTTAAGCAGCAGATATTTTGCCATTGCAATGTACAGTACTAGACCATTCTCTGTCAAATACCTGGACTATTACAGGAAGGAACATCTATTTCAGGTTCACTTTAATATGCATTAGAATTCAGTTACAAAATGCTAATTGGATAAATTATATTATTCAATACTCTACAAGTGTATATATATATGGGATGAGAAATGTCACCTGCAGTGCGTACATTGAACACGATCATTTAGATCTGTTTTCATGCACATGCAATTTAACATTCCATCAGCAAAACCTTAGTTTACGCACTCAGTTAAAGGTCACCAAAATGTGTTAATGCAAGAACTATGGCGGTCAATCTTACCAATGTGTGGTTCTGTTTCGCCGGCTGACTGTGGACCCCATTTGTCCTCTTCTTTTGGTTAGAAGTGTCTTGATATTGCTTTCTACCATTACCCCTCATGTTCTGAGTCAGCCACACCCAAAAAAGGTAATACAGATAAAGGTTAAATGCTAGTGTCACACCCTACTGCATTACGATACCACTTATATAGCAGCTGTCATCCAAGTACCCCAAATCATGTTAAGGTTTAGAAGCCGAGGCACAAGAAGTTATAGCTACTGTTTAAGGTTACTCCGCAAGCCAGTGGCAGAGGTGGGAAAAGACTCTGGGTCTGCTGATACCCAGTTCCCTGGTCTAATGACTAGGCATGCTCCTTTCCATGATATAATGAAGTCTCATCCCTTAAGGCAATAAGCCCAACAGCCTATCCCCATACATTCATACATAAAGTGAGTCTGAACTGATTTTAAAGGGTCCTAACAAATCCAATGGATTTGGAAATTAAACCTACCTTTATTTTTAGGGCTTCAGACATCTCAGAATGATTGTTATATGGCTTCTGTTGCTGTGGTTGTCTGTACTTCGTCCACTGGTCTCCTGGAGAGCCATCTGTAAACACCTGCTGGCTATAACGAAGTTTAGATCTATCCCATTTAAAAAAAAAAAAAAAAAAATTATCTGCAAAAGAACTTTGATTCAAGACTATTATGATCAGAACAGAAATACACATTGTTCTGCTTCTCCAGACAATCTTACAAGATAAGCTGAAACACTGGATCTTAACCTTAATAGTCTCTCCACTCACTAAACTTGTTTTGCTTATTGAGGAAGAGTTATGCACAAAGCGGAAAAAATATGACTTTATAAAGCAACAGTATGTGACAAGTAAAAAGAAGATTTCTTACTCTAGAATCCTGTTACTTGAAGTGTTGTGTGGATACCAAGTGGGTACACCTTGATACTTTATTTATGACACGAGCGTGGGTGCTGAACTGACCTAGATTGATGATGGGGAACCCCCTTTGTCAACCTGAACTGGTTTGAGAAGTTGCTCCGTCACATGACTGCTAGGAAACCAATGTACATTGCCAAAGAGCCACAGTAATATGTCAGCAGCCCCCTAAGCTCCCCCGCACCTCCCGATCAGCTGTTTCATGGCATGCACGAAGCTCGGGGGGGGGGAGGAAGCGTGAGGGCATAGCAGGTTATGGGGGGGCGGGAATGGATGGAGTGGGGGCAGGGCCTGTGACAGAGCCAGGGGTTGGGCAGTGAGCACCCCCTGGCACACTGGGAAGTTGGCGCCTGTAGCTCCAGCCCCGGAGTTGGTGCCTATACAAGGAGCTGCATATTAACTTCTGAAGAGTCGCATGTGGCTCCGGAGCCACAGGTTCGCCACCCCTGCTCTAAGATCTCCCTGTGATTTAACACGTTACAAGATAATTTTTTCAATCACCCCCGAATCACCATGACAACATTGGTTTTATCCAACTTTCCTTGAAATTGACATTAATTTGAAATTACTTTTAAGTACCATGGCTATTAGTGATTCTTCCTGACTTTGTTCCATTGTTTTTGGCACCTCTCCTTCCTTTCAGCACTACATTGATTATTTTAGAAAGCATATCTACCTGTCCTACCTTCTGATAGAGAATTTCAAGTTTCTCCTTCACTTGCTTTTCATATTCCCATATAGGAACTCAAGACATTCTCTCAGTTTTGCCATATTCTAAGATTTTCCATACAAGTAGTTTCAAGCACATCAGGGAACTAATTAACCTCTCCATCCTACTAACAGTTCTATGGATCTCTCTATAATCTATTATATTAACCCATTCTGAGGAAAAAAAAGAGTGGACATTCTTCAGCTTTGTGTAGCCAATGATTTATAAAAATGTTGACAGACATGTCAAAATGATCTAGTTTCCTACCTTGTTTTCTCCATGTTGAGCTTGGATGGTGTGCTCCCAGTGGATGAAAATCCATTGTCACTATCAGAGGAGTCCCCATACCTTCGAGAAAGCCAGTCTCTCAATGGTCTGTGAAGAAGTTAGTGTTTTGTCAACAAAATCCAGTGTCCTGAAAACAAGAGGCTAGACTTTGGCTTATCCTGAACATACCTGATGAAGGGAATGGCCATGAAAAACTTGTTAGGTGCCAAACCTAGCTTGGACTTTGGAGTCATGTCATTTCTATGGCACGGTAATTTGTCAATTGAGAACCATTCAATGTTCTGAAACACAGAAAAAAGTAATGACTTTAGTGAAGTCACCAAGGGACTTAGGCAAATACACATCATCCACAATAAGAAAAGGAGGACTTGTGGCACCTTAGAGACTAACCAATTTATTTGAGCATGAGCTTTCGTGAGCTACAGCTCACAGTATGCATCGGATGAAGTGAGCTGTAGCTCACGAAAGCTCATGCTCAAATAAATTGGTTAGTCTCTAAGGTGCCACAAGTCCTCCTTTTCTTTTTGCGAATACAGACTAACACGGCTGTTCCTCTGAAACCTGTCATCCACAATGATTTTCTTTAAAATCAAAAAGCTACAGCAAGAGTCTGAATTAATGAACCATGACAGAGCTGCTGACCAATACAGGTTATTTTAAATGCTAGGATCACTTTTCTGGCCACCACCACAATGTAACAGACATGACAATGCAAGTTTGCAGTGTTGTTGTAGCTGTATTGGTCCCAGAACATGAGAGAGACCGGAAGAAGAGCTCTGTGTAGCTCGAAAGCCTGTCTCTTACACCAACCAAGATGGTCCATTAAAAGATATTATACCCCATTGTCTCTCTGTTAGAATCCCTAAAATGTGGAATGCAGTACACAGTACCTCAATTATTGAAAGTTAGTTCATTTAAAATAAGGTCTGCAACAACATATCGTATATACTCTATCATAAGCCGGTTTGTTTATAAGCCGGCCCCCACCCCCAAGATGGATAAGTAAAAATGGAAAATTTTTATGACCCATTCATAAGCCAACCCTATAATTCAGGGGTCAGCAAACTTTGGCTCCCGGGCCATCAGGATAAGCAGCTGGCAGGCTGAAATGGTTTGTTTACCTCGAGCGTCTGCAGGCACGGAGGTAAACCTAAGTAAACAAAAAGTGTCCCGGTGCGCCAGCTGCTTATCCTGACATGCCGGGACAGCAACTGGTGGCGAAGTTTTGTTTTTGTGTTTTGTTTTTTTTTGGGGGGGGGGGTGGAAGCTGGGGGTCAGGGGAGTAACCCCTGTGACCACCGCCCACAACCCCACCCCTAGCCTGGGACCCCCCCCACTCTCCCCATACCATCCTTTCCCACCTTACCTGGGGAGGGTCAGGGGAGGATGTCTCTGGCCTGGCCAGAGCTGCTCCGGCAGGCTGGGCAGTGCGGCCACAGCCTGCTCCAGTGGGCCAGGGTTACAGGCCCCCTGCCTGGGGCTGAAGTCCTTGGGCTTCGGCTTTGCGCGCCCTCCTCCAGCCTGGGGGCCTTGAGCTTCAGCTTTGGTTTCAGTCCTGGGTGGTGGGGCTGAAGCCCTTGGGCTTCAGCTTCCCCCTCCTTCCCCACCCCTGCCTGAAGCCCTTGGGCTTCAGCTTTTCCCCTCCCCAACCTGGACCTCAGGCAGGCTCAGGCTTCGGTCTCCAATCCTGGGGTCATGTAGTAATTTTTGTTGTCAGAAAGGGGTTGCGATGCAATGAAGTTTGAGAACCCCTGAACTAGACCCAGTCAAGAGGGTGCTTAAACAAGGAGCTAGCAATTTACAGCTCTGGGGAACCAACCTAAGGGGGAGAAGAGGAATGTTTAATCATGTGCTGTTGTCCCTATTACACTTAGTATTCAAAAGATATAGCTAAAGTTGGCGGTAATTCTAGTCTTAAAACAAAAATTGCTGTTAAAGTTAAAATGTTATCTGCATGACAAGAGAAATTCAAGTTTCCGGAAGCAATGAACGTAACAAGCACTTCTCAGCACATCAGGCACTTTAATTTCTTCTCCATCCCAACAGCTTCCTAGAAGTTCACTGAGTTCAGCTCACTCACACAATGGTTGGCTCCCATGGTGTCTCACAGCCAAGTCTATTCTCTGCTACCCATCATACACTAGATCTGGATTGTACAGACTGCTTATAGAAATAAAGCAAGCCCCATTTTCCTCTTCCAATGCATAGGTTAACGTACAGTATCCTTAAATATTTATATCCTTACAGAAAAATATATAAGACATATAAAAAAGGTTAACTGCAAAAAAATATTTGCGGGAAGAGAAAGTGGGATGTGCTTTATTGTTAGAGTCACTGAACTCCAGTGCCAATTTATGATGGAGCCAGGTGTCATAATGAACAGTTGGCCAGCAATCAGTCTTCACATCAGACCTGCAGAAAGTTGACAAAACCTAAAGTGATGACATGCTGCTTTTACTCCATTTGGGGCATTCATTACCTTTTGTTTAATATTTAGCTTTAAATCAACCTTTGCTGAGGTAGTGGCAACCTGAAAAATCTTTATAAATAAAACATAACTATTGTACCCGAATTTCTCTTCTGGTTTTGGGGTTGAATTTTGTGTCCTTTGGAACTCCTGGAATGATGTACAAGCGTGCTAGCTGATCATTGATTCGTAGTTCAATGTAGTCATCTTTGCAGATGTAATCTTTGATATCAAAACCAGTTTCTTCAAACACCTGAGAAGCACACGGATCAAATTAGAATTGTTCAAGTCATACCTTCAAATAGATTTTTGAAAGGCTAAATCATCAGAAGGGAACCCTTTATTACTAGTTCTCAGTTAGTGATTGTAATATGTTTGCACATATGCACAGATACTTGACTGCTAATGAAACAGCATAATCTCTGTACACTCAAATTTTGTCCATTACAGCTCAAGAGTGTGAAGTGGAAAAGAATTTAGATAATATGTAAAAGAGCATGCTAACTAGCAAATACAGGGAAACAGCGTGGCTGCTTGTTGATGATGCTCGACACATGAGAAAGTATTTTGCTTCAGACAAAAGTTAAACATATTGATCTAAAGAGAGAGTTTATAATTTTCCTATAACTTTCTGGATGTCTAAAAACTCCTAACTTGGTTTCTACACTTTAGTTCTTTCCCATCCTACAGTACTAATAATGTCCTATGAACCCCCCACAAAATATTCATTCTTATGTCAGTTCTTGTATCAAAATTCAGCAGTACCATAAATTACTCTGAGTAATATACATTTACTAACATTCAAATTAAGTCACTAAATTCAAACTGGGCACCTAAGGTGATAATGGGGATACGGAACTCAGAATTACTCACTCTGCTGACATACTATTACAATCTGTTACTCAGAAGGAATTAAAGTGCTAAGCCTGTGACAGGATCACTATACACACTAAAAAAAAGTATATTATGGATCAACATTTTTACTGGAGTATTTCACGTTTCACTATTGGAGGGGGAAAAGATCCTACCCCTGAGATGGGCACAAATTAAGACTAGATGTAGATTAATTTAAAAGAGAATATTTCATCCACTTCATATTATAACAACATTTAAACTCCTACCAGGTATAATTACTGAGACGAGCAGAACATGCAGTCATAAGATAATAATAATCCTGATGTTTAAGGCTATTTTTTTTTTTTTTTTTTTGCAAAGTAATGTGTGGAAGAAGGGGATTCCAGTTTCTCCTCTTCTTACCAAACACACCATTTTAGAACTGAAAAACCAGCATTACTGGAAGCTTTTGACCAGTGCCCTGGACTGAAATGTTGCAAATGCCTTACAAAAAAGCAGCCCTGAGGAATCTTAATGAAGACACATGTACATCTGTGAACCAACATGTACAACAAACTGGTTGGAAGCGAAGTCTGTTCAGCATCTGACAAATTTCACAGAGATCTGTGCCCACCTCTATATATAAACTGGGTCATCTTGATTAACAGATAGTTTTCACAGTCTAGCTTGTCCCTATGGAGTCAGCATTGTTCTTTGGATTATTCATTTTGCCAAATACATAAGAAAATTTGTAAAAATCTGTAAATTAAGTCTCTTTGTAGGTGTGGACAGACTGTTGGGAGTACAAATTTTCTGGAAGCAACAACCCTTCTACTACTTTATATACACATTGAGAAAATTTTCAAAGATCAATGAAAAGGGAGCAAAATTAAAATGCAACTGATGTTTAGCAGTTCCTCCTATGTGGCAAGACCACATTTACACAAACAAGCCATTAAGAGAAGCTGTTTCATAGTGAGGAGTAAGGTTTGAGGGTCTGACATAAAAGCTTTTAAAACAGGAAAGATTAAGATATGCCCTAATAACCTTTAATATGGTGGTTCTCAAAGTTTTGAGCTGGTGATCCCTTTCACATAGCAAGCCTGAGTGTGAGCCCCTTTATAAATTAAAAACACTTCTTTATATATTTAACACCATTATAAATGCTGGAAACAAACTGGGGCTTGGGTAGAGGCGGACAGCTCACGACTCCCCATGTAATAACCTTGTGACCCCTGAGGGGTCCCGACCCTCAGTTTCAGATCCCCTGCTTTAATATTTAATCCATGAAATGGATGACAGATCTAGGAGATACACACACTGCCAAAAGAAAGTCAACTTATTTTACGGTCTCTGGGAACAAATGCAAGAGCTTTTTAAAAAAAGTGACAGTTTGCCTAATGCTGTTAACTTTGGACTAGTCTCCTATGCAAAAGGAAAGTGTTGGGTCAGAATAGAAACTAGGGGGAAAAAAATATACAAGTTTTGGTGAATGATGTTCTAAACTGATGGTTTGTAAAAGCAATTCTACCCACAACACAGAAATGAAAACCAAGGTTTTTGTCGGATCAAGCCTATTCTCTCAGCGCAGCTACATGCAAAAGAACAAACAAGAAAATTAAGTAGCAAAAAACTTTCTTAACCCAGAGTTAAGGTTGCCTGGTGATAGTTTGTGCTCCCCCAGAATACCAAGTTCCAGGATACCCCAATTTGTGAAAACCAAGAAAAAGAGTTAAGGTATAGAACCTTAACTCTGCACCCCCTGGAGTGGTCAGTAGCCACTGACAATTATCTGCATACACTCCAGCTGTATCCACCGTTAGCTGTATTAAACAGTGAAGGAATAACTCGAGCAGCTTCAAAGACTCGTCATTGGGATTGAGAAAATCTGATGGGCTATGGCCTCTCAGAGTGCAGGTGAGTCTCTCTTCCTAACCAGTCAAAGGAAAGAGGTGCATTTGTACCTTGGGAGCATGCCTCATTTTAGTTCATTGTGTAGGCTGCATTAGTAGGGGCACAGGGCTCTTCTTGCCAGGGAGATTGTCAGTTGTTAGGTGAGTGTGGTCTGTTAGTTAATGAAAGGTAAGTGACAATTATAGTGTTTGATCGTATTGTCCCTGGAGAATCCCATTGGAACTAGTTATTTGCACACCTCTCCGGGGGTGGCTTCTTTGGAGGTGTCACAACCTGAGTAAATTTGCCTAATCAGCCCCTGCTGTTCTTCTATTTACCCTTCCCATGGAAATACTTACAATCCCACAGTAACACATACACAACTTCATTTTCAATACAATGAACTCCAAAGACATTTAAACTAAATCAATAAGGTTTAATTCAACTAAAAAGTTCACTAAGCATATTGCAGGCTCTTGTCAGTCTGCCACAATGTCTGGTCAAATATCGTATAGCAGTGCACTATCTTGTCACCTGGTGGTAGTTGGTTTTAAGATACAGAAGTAAATGAATGCATTTTGTACAGCAGCCTTCTTTAGTATATACTCCTGGGAGAATTCTGCACCAAAAAAATTAAAAATTCTTCATATAGTATTTTAAAATTTGGCATATTTTACTTGTCAAAACAATATAAATCAAGCCAGTTTCAATTATTTTGGCAATTTATTTCAAAATACCTGTGCACAAGTATATCTATCAATACAGACAACAAAAAAAAGATTCAGGATATGTTTTCTGACAAATAGATTCCTTACTAGGCATATCAATACAGAACTTTGAGTAATAATTTATTTAAACTACAAGACAGACGCATATTTCCCGCACTCCTCAGCAGCAGTGCGAAGGCTTGGGGGAATCAGAGGTAATGGAGGAGCTGAGGGAGAGGAAAGTAATTGCTGGGAAGGAGCCTAGGAGTGAACCTGAAGGGTTACTGGGTGTGGGTGGAAGAAGAATGGAACAGGTGTTTGTTTGGTTGGGGGGGGGGGGACAGGCAGGCGGCGGGAAGAGCGTTAGGGAGTTGGAGAGTCTATCCCATACAGCCCCTGTCTAACCCCTAGCCTCTCCCATTCAGTCAGGCACATCTGCCACCCCTGTCTCCGTGTGTTCCTGCATTCCCCCTCCGCCCTGTCCTTGTGTGTCCCTGAATTCTCCCTCCTCCCTGTCCCCGTGTGTCCCTGCACCCCCACTCCCATTCAGTCAATGGCTCAATCCCGTCACCCACTAGCTCCTCTGCCCCCACCCGTCTGTCCCCCCAGCACTATCCCTTCTGAACCACAGTCTATGTGACCCCCCCACACACATACCCAAGCAGCCTATGTGCTACGCTCTGTCTGTGCCCCCTCCATGTCCTGTGTCTCTTCACTTGGCCCTGCAGCAGGGCACTGTGCAGCCATTGGCCCCTCTGACCCTGAGCTCACTGTTCTCTCTTCTGGTGCCACAGCCCGTCCCCCGGGGGGGCTGAGAGAGAACATGACAGGTTTAACTGCAGCACCTCCCCAGCAGAATCTATTTTCTGCAGGGGATGGGTGACAAAATCTGCAGGGGACATGCATTCTGTATGTGTGCAGAATTCCCACAGGAGTAAACACCTTTAGGGTACATCTACATGACAAACACTACACCAGCTTAGTCATGCTGGCCTAGGCTGCATTTACACTACAGAGTTAGGACTATAGAAGGGATTTTCCATTGGTGTAAAAGCACCACCTTCCTGAACAGTAGCTACATTGACAGAAGCATTTTTCCATCAACGTAGCTACTTATACACTGAGGATTACGTAGGCCTAGATACATCAGTCAGGAGTGCTATTTTTCACACCCCGACAGACACAGTCATTAAAAGTTCAGTTGACACAGCTATAGCATGGTCTATGGTTATTAGCTGGCTTAACCCTTTCTTAATTTTGTAAGTTAGAACTCATTTTAAATTTTTCTTGCATGGAAATAGGACATAATGTTATACTATCTTCATATTTTTTGCAGCATGAGACTTTATTATCCCTATCTTTACATAACTACAAATATTATTGGTCATAAAATACATACAACCTCTTTTTACATGCAGCTGCATTATGTACCTAGCTTTCCTCAATAATAAATTCCATAGTGACTATAAACCCAAAAAAACCCGATCTGAAGTATTGTCTTAACCTGTTCCAGTATTACAGAACAACTTAAGTGGCAGCAGTGAAGTTGGAAGTTTATTAATATAGCGTCTTAGCCACAGGCCACTGTGTACAGTACAATAAATACAAGTTTTAAAAAAACACAATTTGAAAACACAAGAGTAACCATTCCCTAAAATCTGTTACAGCTTTAAAATTAGCATACCTACAACAATACATGAAAATGAGATAAAATATTAAGAGTACATTACTTCATTTGGGTCAAAACAGGATGGATAAAAATCAATTTAAAAAAATTTGAAAAATCAGATTTTCAATTTCAGTTAAATACTGGGTTTTATTTAAATTAACCTATTTAAAATAAAATTTGACTTGATGACAACCTATGTTAAGATCTAAACTTACTATAATCTATTAAAATAATTAAATGCAAAAAATATTAATCAGTATGTATTTGCTGCCAAGTTTTAACAAAAGTCAATCCCCTGTGCTGGTGGAAGTCATTGGCTAAGCCTCTGGAACCAGAATTTGTTAAAGCCCTAAACCCGCTTTTTACAGCAGTAGCCTCTTCTGCCAGTGAAAAGAGAATATTTTCTTCATTTCAGTTTATTCAACAAGTTCAGTTCAATGATTAGTTCACTGAAAGTTAAGAAACCAACTGGTGGGTTGAAAGAAGAGAAAAGCTTGTTTTCCTCTTCTAATCTATGAATAAAAAACTATTGAAGGACACGGTGGCCAAAAACAATCAGTTCAATTAATTAGAGATCATACTTTCGTTGTTTAATAAATCAGTTATAAATGCAAACCATTTTGATAAAACTTTTTTCCTTACATATCCAGCACTTAAAGGTAGTTTTATTCAATAAAAGTAAAAATGCTGTTTGTGTGTAGTAATCTGATTTTGAATTGTCAAGCTCTGTTTGGAGGGACAAAGTCACAAAAATAAAAAATAATCTAGTAATTAAGAAATGCATCTTTCATTATTTTCTAAAATAAAAATGTAAATATTAAGAATGTGAAAAATGTAAAGTAAGCTAATTGCTTACTTTTTTTTAAAAAGTGTGTATAAATATGTGTATCCTGGTTAGCAAAAAGAACCACCAAATTTAATTTAAAGGCTATGCTTACTTACTTTAATGGTTACCAACTAATTAAAATCTTTAGGAACATAATAAAAAGTACAAATGCAAAACAATTAAAATTGATTTAATTCAACATTTCCTACTTTGCTGATTTAAATCAATCCATCATAGGTCAAATGTGGCCTCTTTCACATACTTTTTTCTTATTTAGGGGACCAAATGCTACAGCAGTAGATGCCAACAAGAATACATAATTTAATAGCTTTCTGTAGAAAGACACCACCAGATTGCTAGAATTTCGTTTTGGTGTTCATGAAAATCCTACTCTCAACATGGGTGAAGGGAACATGTGTTAAACTACTTTGTCTTAAAGAAAAATGATTTAAATGTATGGGTAAGGAATTTTTAAACAATCATCAATGGAACTCACCTCTCTCGCTGCACAGTCATGTGGAGCCTCTTCTTTATTTACTTTCCCTTTTGGAAATCCCCAGCCAGACTTTGCTAAATATCCTTGAACCAGCAGTACCTGCAGAATCCAAGCAATGCAGTAGTGAAATACCCATTAATCTCATAGATTTGACTTAATTCCCAAAGAGATACTTTTGGCTGGAGGAGGAGACCTTTTGCCTCGTATTAGCATATGTTCATTAGCATTACAGTTTACCAGACTTAGCAAGAATTAAAAACTTTGGTATAGGGTTGTATTATTAAAAAAATATATAAAAATGAAGTTTGGTGTAAAAACAAGGCAAATGTGCAGCTGCCTTTGGTACAATGGTAATAAAGATACCCCCAACAAACCAGAGATGTACAGAAACTCAATAAAAATGCGAAAAGGTAATGTTTATGATCTACAGTCTGAAAATATGATTTTTAAAGCACAAAAAAATTGCTGGGATTGTTAAAAAGCTAGTTAATATCCTTTCTGCCCAGCCCTCACCATCTTGTATAAATGTTCACAGATTAGTTTTACACTTACATTTTCAAGTGTCTCATCAAGAATAATTGCACCATAGGTTGGTACTCCCATTTTATACTCCTTCCACTCATCCAAAACCCTTTGCACATCTTCACCTTGAGGCAGTAAAAAAGGGCAATGGCTAAAGAGTATAGAAACAGGTCAAGGAAACTTACTTACAAAGACCCACCCAAGACAAATGTTTACAAGTACTGCTTTCTATACGGAATAGGGTTTTATTTTCTAGATGTGTTTATTTGGAGCCAAAAATTAAGGTAATATGCATAATCCAATACTGAGTTATATTCTGCAGATTCAGGGAGCAAACAGTGATTTACCAACTCAAATATAAGCCATTTATACAATGGTTCCTCTTTAAAGTTAGAGATGCTTTCCTTTGTTCAAAGGAAAGTACCCCAATAGTGGATTTTTTTTTTAAACATGAAACCAAGTTCTTGCCATGAGAAAAGTTTAAAACCACAGAAGTACAATTAAAGACACATAAGCTATTTTTGTAAACCAAATATTTTGATTGTTTTAGTGAAGCATGGGTCCTCAAATGGAAGCTGGAGCAAAGATACTTAAGCATTGTAAAAGTTGGAATACTGCATGCTATATTAGTTCCCACAGTTGATAGCCAAACTGTGGCATAAAAACCATACTTAAGAAGTTATGATTAAGGCTAAGATTTTGTCATGGGTATTTTTTAGTAAAAGTCAGGGACAGGTAATGGGCAATAAAGAAGGGCTTCCGTGATTTTTTCTTTATTGCCCATGACCTGTCCCGGACTATTACTAAAAATATCCATGATAAAATGGGAAGGGACTGGGCAGTTGCGGAGTGGCTGGGAGCTCTGGGGCCCCCACCACCAGTGGGGGCTCAGAGCTCCAGGGTCCCCCTGCTCTCTCTGCGGTAACCGGGAAGCTGCTGGGGTAGCCCCACTGCCAATGGCGGCTGAGAGCCTCAGGCAGCAGGGGTACCACACAGCTCCCTGCCAGTGTGGGAGATAGCGGGACCCTGCAGTTCCCAGCCACCAGAACTGAAGTCACAGAGGTCTTTGAAAGTCACAGATTTCATGACTTCCACAACCCCAGTGAGGAAATCGTACTTTAGTTACGATCTAATCACATTTAAAATAATGTTGCTTAAGCCATGTGTTCAGGTTTAAGACCCTTCATGAACATGACCAAAACCCACCATAAAAAAAAAAATGTAAATAATTTGGAATTACTACATAAACACATCCTGAAGAAGCCAATGGCATAACCCCTCACAGTTGCACACCATCCCCGGTCACGTAAAAGCCAGAGAATTTATACTACTTCTAGTAGAATTAACACCCATGTCAGTTTTTCCATGGAAATCCATGAAGTTAGGGGAGGGAATATGCCACAGAGAGAATATTACATTAAGCTGGCCCTGACCATGCTCAATACAGAAGGAAGTCTCGACTGTTCACTCTGTTACAGGATGAAGTCATAAAAGGCCTCAAAGCAAGCAATAAGCTGCTGAATTCTCAGGGCTCCTGGGAAGCTAGGGAAAAGATAGTGAATGGTTTTTTTTGTTTTTTGAAGTGCTCTAATATTATGGCAGCTATGAACATTAAAAGACTTTCTAATGAAGGCAGTTTTATGTCACTCAAAGGGACTGTTGTGCAAGCAGTTACTCAGGAAAACAGGATTTCACTACTATACTTTAGTATACAGTTTATCCACAAGCATTGAAAAAACAGGAATTGTACCAATAAAAAGGATATCAGCTTTAGCAAAGTCTCTTATCCCACACTGAGGTAATCCTGGTGTGTTCTGCATGTAGAAATCCAAGTAAAACCAATGGGCAAGTTCAATCTGAAAACATACTCTGATTGCATTGTCTCTTTCCTCACTTGGAATGTGCAAAATAAATCGACTGCAGGAGAGGAAAGAAAAAAAAGGGGGGGGGGGAGGAGAAAGAGCTTGATTAACAGAATTTGCAGAAAGAAGTTTTCAAAATATGATCTCAAACACTGAAAATGCATTACAGACAGGGGTAGAGACAGCCCATCCAATCAACTGGTACACATTAAAAAAAAATGAATTTTAAACACTCAGTAAAGAAATTTAATAAACTCAGATTAGGTGTGCTAAAATACACTCATGGACACAGTCAGGTTAAAGATATACGAAAAATGTTTCCTCACCTGGTATTAACACCATTATGAGTTACTAAAAATACTGTAACTTAAAATCTAAGCTATTTTCCCCACCATTTATCCTCACTTTTAATACACAGTTTTCTCAGTTTGAAGCTAGCAGTGGACAGGGTTTAATAGAATTGTTTGGTTTCCCTGTACATTGTCACCTTCTCATGCACTAACACAATGTTGCATGCAGTACCGGGTTATAAACATCAAGGGAAAGTTTACATTCAGACAGTAAAATTCTGTATGACTGTTCGATTCATTCACAGAAAGATTTTTTTAATCAACACTATTGAATTTTCTTGTTAGATTTCAAAGAGATTTGATTCTTTAAACTAAAATTGAGCTTAAGCTATTTGACAGGGTTCTTTAAACCAGAGGTCTGCAAACTGTGGGGCATGGAGAAAGGTTTGGAGAAAGGTTTGGGGGCGTGGCTAGGGCTTGGGCCAGACCCCACTGGGGGGCAGTGAGGGAGCACCACCCAACTTCAGTTGTGGCCCTGGGAGGCTCCTCTCCCAGCCCCGGCCCTGCCGTGGCCCCAGTCGCGGCCCCTTTACCCATCTGCGTCCTCCTCTCTTGGAGCCACGGCCCAACTCCCAGCCGGGGAGGGAAGGCACAAAGAGGGGTAAGGAGGAGGTGTCATAAATATAAAGGGAAGGGTAACTACTTTTCTGTATACAGTGCTATAAAATTGTTCCTGGCCAGAGGCAAAATCCTTTCAGCTGTAAAGGGTTAAGAAGCTAAGGTAACCTTGCTGGCACCAGACCCAAAATGACCAATGAGGGGACAAGGTACTTTGAAATCTGGAGGTGGGGAAAGGCTTTTGCCTGTCTGTCTGCGATGCTTTTGCCGGGAACAAATCAGGAATGCAAGCCTTACAACTCCTGTAAAGTTAGTAAGTAATCTAGCTAGAAAATGCGTTAGATTTTCTTTTGTTTAATGGTTTGTAAAATAAGCTGTGCTGGAGGAAATGTATATTCCTGTTTTTGTGTCTTTTTGTAACTTAAGGTTTTGCCTAGAGGGATTCTCTGTGTTTTGAATCTGATTCCCTGTAAGGTATTTACCATCCTGATTTTACAGAGGTGATTCTTTTACTTTTTCTTCAATTAAAATTCTTCTTTTAAGAACCTGATTGATTTTTCATTGTTCTGAAGATCCAAAGGTTTGGGTACAGGTGAACACAGACCAACTGGTGAGGATTATTATCAAGCCTTCCCCAGGAAAGGGGGCGTAGGGCTGGGGGGATATTTTGGGGGAATAGGACTCCAAGTGGGCTCTTTCCCTGTTCTTTGTTTAACACGCTTGCTGGTGACAGCACAGGGTTCAAGGACAAGGCAAAGTTTGTACCTTGGGGAAGTTTTTAACCTAAGCTGGTAAGAAAAAGCTTAGGGAGGGTCTTTCATACAGGTCCTCACATCTGTACCCTAGAGTTCAGAGTGAGGAAGGAACCTTGACATGGTGGCAGAGTGGTGGGATCACTCTGAACCAGAGGCACAGCATGATTTTAAAGGGTTTTGTAAAAGGTGATTGCAGCTGTTGATTCTGTCTCTCTGCCTGGGAGACAGAGCAGCAGGCATAACAAAAAGATTTTTCTGTAGGCTGAGAACAGCTATCAGAGACAAAAGGTATCAGGTTACAGCACAGCAAAATTTTACAAGCCAGGGTTTTTTTTTTTGTTTGTTTGTTTTCTTTCTAACTCTCGGGTGTAAAATTAGTTAAAAACAGAAAGGTTAGGATCACAGAATGAAATGTTCAACAGAAGCTGGAATTAGCCAGATGTGAGGCTGAGGAAAGACGAAAGGAATATACATTCCCTCCTGCACAGCTTATTTTACCAGCTATTACACAAAAGAAAATCTAATGCATTTTCTAGGTAGCTTACTTACTAACTTAACAGGCTTGCATTTCTGATCTGTTCCCGGCAAAAGCATCACATAGACAGAACCCTTTGCATCCTTTCCCCCCCCCCCCCCCCGCACACTCCAGATTTGAAAGTATCTTCTCCCCTCGTTGGTCATTTTGGGTCAGGTGCCAGCAAGGTTACCTTAGCTTCTTAAGCCTTTACAGGTGAAAGGGTTTTGCCTCTGGCCAGAAGGGATTTTATAGCTCTGTATACAGAAAGGTGATTACCCTTCCCTTTATATTTATGACAGGGGTCGTGAGGTAAAAAGTTTGGGGACCACTGTTTTAAATCCAACTTTTGAGATTTGCCAGATAAGCTCCATAAGTGGTCATGGGATGCTGATGCAACAGCTAAGAGTCAGAAAAATAGTTTTGTTTTGTTTTTTAGAAGTTTTAGTTGTATTGAATAAGGAATGAATAATCCCATATAAAAAAGCAAATTTTGCCAGGCCTGCTGCATGATGGTTCTCTTCTACTGAAATAACTGTATGCTTTAACAGACAACATTTCCAAGATTTATTTATTATTATTATTATTATAAGCACAGGATGTAGCACTGCTGCAAGTTAGAAGAAAAAAATTTTATTTAGTAAGTTTACTTTGTGAATTTCACTGTTTGATGGTGCACACCCTTCCCAAAAGATTATTTTCCAATGACAGCAGCATAAACATGAACAAGTAGTAACATGCAGGAGAGCATCCAGAGAGAAATGGAGAAAGAACCAGAGCATAGGCTGCTCTCAGGCCCACCCATAAGAACACCAACAGGAAAACAGACATCCCCCCCAACCTCCCCCCCTTTTTTTTTAAGTTTACGTAGAACAAACATGCATAGTGCCCAATAAATCAGCAACAGAGCTCACCATTAAGATAAACTGCAATTTTTAAAAAGAGCAGAAATTATCTGCCTACTGCAGTGGAGAAGCCATACAACTTCCCAGCAATGTCTGCTGGGTATATGCTTGTAATTTATTACTACTATTACAACATCAAGTTGGTAAGCCTTTACATAAACCAGACTGACAATTTTGCCTTATCCTTTTAAACAATTTCAACTTCGCAGTTTATTGGAACAAAAAGAAAAAGGCTTGGGAAACCAAAGGAAAAAATTATAAAAACCAAAAAGAAACTGTAGGAGATCTGCTCTATAGCCATCAATGAAGAAATGGGTTTCAACCATGTTCACCACAGACAGAATACACTGTTAGAGACTACGATTAATATTAAAACAGCTGTGACATGAGTATGGAAGATTTTATCTTAGAACTTACATTACCATTTGAACAGAGATCAGATTCCTTGAACGACGTAGTCTTTGGTCCTTTGTTCTAGCATTATCTGTCCTCATCTGGATTGAATTTAACTCTAGTGTTATGTTGCATATAGTTATACTCTGATCACATAATAACCTATGCAATAAATTTCATATTAAGATAACGGATAAAGTGATTTTTTAAAAAATGCTTTCTTCAGACTGTACAGGTTCAAGCACTCTGCAAGTGGTAAAAGTATTACAAAATACTGGAGTGCACAATGCTTTGCAAAAAAGTGAACATATTCCCTGCCTCATAGAGCTGATGAAAAGTGCTTAGGTACTATGATGATGAAACTTAAGACAGATCTGGAGTTGCCTTAAGAGGTAGGTTTTAATGAAGGATGCTTGGCAGAAAAGGACAGGGAGAGCATTTCTGATGTAAACATGGATGTTCTAGAAGGCACAAAGAAAGTGGTGGGGAAAGAAAAATGAATACATTAGTACCACAAGTGAACAGAGAGGGGACTGGAGAACATGAGAAATAGTGAAATTAAAGAAAAAAAAGTGTAGATGGGAATGAGATACAATAAATCTGAATTTGGTCCAACATAAAATAAAAAAATCTAGAAAAAAATTTAAATTGGAAGTTGCATTTTGGACAAACTGGGTTTGTCCAAAGAGGAGGGCCAGGCAAGGAGGCTACAGTTACAAAAAAGAGACACGAGATAACTAGAATTTGAACAGAGAAGATAATGAGAAAAAACAGCAGATTTATGAGTAAGGCTACATATTAGTCACAGGTATTTTTATTAAAAGTCATGGACAGGTCACGGGCAGTAAATAAAAATTCATGACCCGTGGCCTGTCTATAACTTGTACTATACCCCTGACTAAATCTTGGGAGTGCCGCGGGTTCTGGAGAGGTTGGGGTTGGCAAGACTGGCAGACTCCCTTCCAGGCTTCTTGGAAGCAGCAACATGTCCCTCCCTAAGCTCCTAGCTCTGCAAGCTGCCAGCTCCGCAGCTCTGTGTGGGCAGTGCCTGTGGGCACAGGCAGCTTGCAGAGCTAGGAGCTGACAGGGAGGGACATGTTGCAATTTCCGGGGATCCCCCAAAGCAAGCACTGCCCAGAGCCCTCACCCCTTCCTGCGTCCCAGCCCTGAGCCCCCTCCCACCCCCCAAGTTCTCCTGCGGGCGGGGAGGGAGAGAAGAGGGGCACAGTGGTCTGAGACTGCCCCAGCAGTAGCCGGTACGACAGCCCCAGGGGCTGCCTGAGCTGCTCGGGCAGCCCCAGCTGCACCAGAAGTCACAGAGGTCATGGAAAATCACGGAATCCATGACAAACTCGCAGCCTTACTTATGACACATTAGGGAGAAAAAGCAACAGGATTTCAGAGATTGGCTCTTTTCTCCCTTCCCTGTATCCCCGAAGATCGCACCGAAGTTGCAAACCTGGAAAACAAGAGAGTTATAAATGCTGAAAGAGGACACAGTTTCAAGACTAAACAAATTCAGCTTTGTTAGAACTGAATGCTGGACACCTACATGGAGATATCAGAGAGGCAGCTAGAAATGCACGACTGGTCGAAGGTAGATTTAGGGTATGTCTACACTGCCAACGTTACAGCGTGGCCACAGCAGCACTGTGATGTGGGCAGTGTAGTCACACTTTATCACCGGGGGGAGAGCTCTCACAGCAATAAAAAATAACCACTCCAAATGAGGGGTGGTAGGTTTATCGCTGGGATAAAGCGCTGGTCTATACTGGAACTTTTCATCGCTAAAACTTTTGTTGCTCATGGGGGGGGGGTGGGGGGTTCACACCCCTGAACGACTAAAGTTTTGGCGCTGAAAGTGGCAGTGTGAACACAGCCTTAGATAATGTATAGCGGCGATAGTATTGCCTCCTGTCATTTCAATTAACGATCAGGTGCTGTTTGCAGTCTGTTGTTGAATGTACACTGTGAATTAATGCCTGGTTTAACAGATGGCTAGCTGATTAATCCAGGACTAGTATATTGATTAGTATATTGCAAAAGCAGTTAGTAAACCTGTGTAGTCTAAAGAGTGATTTTGTGACTGTTTCACTGGAAACAGATCAAAAGAGGTCAACAAGTTCAAACAGCAGATCTTCCTGACATGTTCAATATAGTTAATAACCTTTTTACTCTTAGATAAAACTACTTACATCATGAACAGCTTGAGTAACCAACAAAAAACTACTGGCAATTATTAGAACTCAGAAAACTCTAATCAGAGATCTTATGAAAAGAAAGATTTGATATGCAGGGCCCATTTTAAGAGGTTCAGTGAGCAATGTATGTTTATGGACATTGGAAGGGAAAGTTGATGGCTGAACATGAGGAAGAAAAAGAGGATCTCAGATGGACAACATGGTATTATGGGTGGCTCAACAGAATTATACATCCACAAAAAGATTAGAAGAGCATCATACAGAATGGGCTACCAGTTGCAAATCCCCAACAAAGGAGAGGACTCTGAATAAGAAGGAAACTACTTAAAGGTAAATCACATGAAAATGCAACACAAACAATTCTGCTGTTGTGCCTATACAAAACGGTTATAAGTTTCCAGGTTTCAGAGTAGCAGCCGTGTTAGTCTGTATCCGCAAAAAGAAAAGGAGTACTTGTGGCACCTTAGAGACTAACCAATTTATTTGAGCATAAGCTTTCGTGAGCTACATCCGATGAAGTGAGCTGTAGCTTCCGAAAACTTATGCTCAAATAAATTTGTTAGTCTCTAATGTGCCACAAGTTGTCCTTTTCTTTTTATAAATTTCCAAGTTCTGCTTATACCCAAGCTACTTAGCTCACAAAAGTTCAACTGCAAAATGTATGATAAATCCTTTGTGACTTTACAAGTTAACAAAGAACAAACCTCAATTCCGACCAGAAATCTTGTATACTCGTGAAAGGGTTGCTCTTAATGAGGCTGAGCAGCAGCAGCAGTTGAATATGCAGTGTTAATTTCTCAAAAGAACTGCAATCGGATCTTTCAACTCCCTCAGCACAGGCCAGGTCACATAACATAGTGCAGTCCCCAGCTTACCTCCCCCCACACCTCCAGGGCAGGAGCACTACCGAACATGAACCCCGACCGTTCCAAGCTCCCCGCTGACCCAAACGTTAGCTTAAAGCCACTCGCACGCAGACCTAGCCTTCCAGCTAAGGTGAAAGGGACGGCACGGATCCTTCTTAGGATGTCACGGTAAGAGTAATTTCTAAGGGTCCTTACTAATAACGACACCATACCTTAATCATCAACTTCACTTCACCCCACTTGTACGTTTTATTAACTGGCTACGGACGATCGCAATGGGCACCCCCGGAACATCGTTTCTGTTTTTCCGCGCAGTTTCACTTTCCACTTCTCTATCGCTAGCGCGGTAGGGTAATATTGGGCTCCGAGCACAAGGCTCGCGGGCGGTGGGGGACAGGGCCCGGTTCAAGGCGCCCCGCTGCCGGGGGCAGGTGGGGTGGGCAGGGGCGCGGCTCAAGCCGTGGGGCGGCAATCTCCGTTACCTGCACAGATCGTCCAGGACGCTGCTGGGAATCTCGACCCGTTTGGTCTCCATGGGGAAGCGCGGCTCATCCCGACGCGACAGGGCCCGAAGGAACAGCGCAGGGGGGCGGGGAGGCCTCGCAGAGCACAAACCCAGCGACCGAGCGAGGGGCGGGACCAATCGCTTCCGTCCCACTCCCGCTGGGGTTGGGGGCCGGCCCTGTCGAGGGACAGACACGCCGCTCCACCAACCACCAGCGCTCGCCCGTGAGCGACGCGAGACCGTTCAAACGTCACCTTTTCTCAAGCCAATCATCGGGAGCGTTAGTGGGAGGACTTGACCAATCGCCGGTGACACACGGTAGACAGACACTGTAGTAGGTTCTGAGCATGCGCACTTTCCCTTTTGAACTCCCCGGCGTGAGCGAGTGCGTGTGTCTCTCTCGTTTCCCGCGGGGAGGGGACGCGCCGCCTGTGCCAGCCCCGCCGGCCTTTCCTCGCAGCGCTCAGCCCTGCGCAAGGGGGAAGCTCGCTGCGCTTGCCCGCCCCGGCCCCAGCACGGCCCCTCTCCATTGCCCAGCGCTCCTGCATTCCCCGCCGCCCAATCCAGGGGGGCTGGGCCTCCCTCAGCAGCGCTCCGCTAGCAGCCTGGAGGGGCGCTCGCGGCAGGCCTCACCTGAGAGGTCATCTGCAAGCACTGGGGTGCGGCGGTGCGTGACGGGGGGAGGGGAGTATTTTAACATGTCCCGCCCGCACCCCCCCGTGCCGCCTCACTCCGCGTCCTGGCCTCACTTGCCTCCGTCCCAACCCCCAACTGCACTTCACGAGAACTAAAAAATAAAACTCCCAAATACGGCACCCCATCACCCGGCTGTGACCCGGAGATACGCAGGAGAAACAAGGGCCGTACAGCATGCGGGATGTATTCCACACCGCACCTGTGGTAACCTCTCTCATCAAGTATTTCCTTGAAGGAGAGGTCTGGGTTCCTGGGCACATGGCCCTCTAGCTAAGCACATTATCATACCACAATATTCCCCCTGGGAACTTTACAGCGCTTTGAAGTGAGCTGTAGCTCACGAAAGCTTATGCTCAAATAAATTGGTTAGTCTCTAAAGTGCCACAAGTCCTCCTTCCGTGACTCCCAGGTGCAGTAATGACAGGGCTACAGGCACCAATGTTGTCATGCATCTGGACATCCAGTATTCTACCAGGCTGGTATTAACACTTCCCGTGGAAGCGTTTCTACCTTCAAGATAGCTTGCTGTATATTTTGTTTCCTTTTTCTGGCTCAAATAAGGCTTAGCCATTTTAACAGCCAATTTAATTTGGTTATTTGTCCTATCACATCACATGCCACAGCAAGTCAATCTGTTCCCAGCTGAGTTGAAACTCCCTGCAAGTAAACTGGGGTCCACTGTTAAACAACACACAGTTTGGTATACCGTGCCTGCCAAAATGCTTCCTTGTTTCATCTATGATGGTCACTGCAGTAATGTCTGACAGTTCGTCTAGTTCCTAAATATCTGAATAGTCGTCTACAATAATGAGGTAGTTTGTGTGGTTTGTAGAGCAAAGGACCATTTGTTACATGGTCTGTTGGGAATGCTGTGTATTTTCAGTCTCTTTTTACTACTTAGCCTGTATTTCCTCTAGGTCTTGGAAATCCTTGGTCATGTTTGGCCAGTATACGTTATCTCTTGATTTCCAGATAAACACTTCTACTTCAGAATGGCTCAGAAGTATTCTTGAGAGAATTTCTATTTAACGATCTGGGAATGATGAATCGACTGCCTTTACATATGATGCTATTTTATATGCTCAGATTGTCTCAATTGTTCCAGTATTCTTGAGAGGCAAGTTGGGCTTCTCCCCTGAAGTCTGGCCATCATGACAGAATGGGAGACCTTGTAGCACTGGTAACTCTGTCTTGTATGGTTTGTTCACAGATTCTTTCCAGCCCCTGCCTTGAAACTGTCACATAACTGGCTTGGTTGATGCTTTCTATGTCTCTGTTTTCTGTATTTCTGCCAGATTGAGGATCTCATTCAGTTCCCATATTTCATGCTGCAGGGGCAAGGCTGCTCTGAAGTTAGCTATTAACCTTTGTCTTTCTTTAAATTGTAGCATTGCAGTTTCAGAAGCATGTGCTGAAAGCATTTTGGTTTTGGGGCCACTAGCAGTAGCTTTAAAAACACAGAGAGAGAGAGAGCGAGCGCGAGTGTGCATGCACCAATACAGTGTAGCTTTCAGGTTTTATTTCTTCTTCCCTATAGAAACTGCTCTCTCATTAAGCATTTCCTGAAAGTAATGTGCTTCAAGATCTTATTACCTGATATATAGTCATACTCTTCTACTGTATCACAAGTAACAGCCCCAAATGGCTGCTGGAATACCGCTGTAAACTGTAGTGTCTGGCACTATTTACAGTTTTGTTTCGCAGTATAAGTATTTGCTAGTCTCACAGATAAAGCGCCAAGTGTGCATGTTATTGTACTATATCAACCACCCCCACGGGGAAATGAAATCTTAACTAATATCTCTCCCTATATAAATTGTAACTGTACACTCCAAGCTGCAGAACAGTTTGAACCAGGGAGACTTTAAAAATCTTGAATGAAAGAAATGGCAAATGCCCAAATGAGATTAGTGTATCACAAAAGGTTACGATCTGCCATTTAGGAGGGTGTATGATTGGGTCTTCAGCACACTCTAAAAAGGAGCAAGCATGCTGTTGTGTTGCTCCACAGCACAAAATCATGACTGGTGTTATAAAATCATGACTTGTATGGAGAAAGTAAATGTGGAAGTGTTATTTACTCCTCCTCCTAACACAAAACTAGCGCCCACCAAATGAAATTAATAGGCAGCAGGTTTAAAAACAAACAAAAAGGAAGTATTTTTTCACACAATGCACAGTCAACCTGTGGAACTCCTTGCCAGAAGATGTTGTGAAGGCCAAGACTATAACGGCGTTCAAAAAAGAACTAGATAAATTCATGGAAGATACATTCATCAATGGCTATTAGCCAGGATAGGCAGTGATGGTGTCCCTAGCCTCTGTTTGCCAGAAGCTGGGAATGGGCGACAGGGGATGGATCACTTGATGATTACTTGTGTTCATTCCCTCTGAAGCACCTGGCATTGGCCACTGTCAGAAGACAGGATACTGGGCTAGATGGATCTTTGGTCTGACCCAGTATGGCCATTCTTATGTTCTTATCCCTCTAGCCCATGGAGAGGAATTCTGGCTTGGCTGCTAGGAATCTACTAGTACAAAATACACCTAGCTCTTGGATCTACCTTTGCTCTGCCTCTCTGGACCACCCATAGAAATGATTTTTCCAAGGTGAATTCTGATGCATCATTTGCTGTCTTTAAATAGAGAATATAAAACCTCTAATAATTCATTTTTGTTACTTCATTTTCCTTACCATAAATATTTTGAAGCTTAAGTTCTGTGTTGGTCTGATGGTGCTGTAGATTCAATAAATGTTTAACCCTTGCTTAAATAATTGTGAAAATGGACATGTTATATTAAATGTAGCCAGGAAAACAAAAATGTGTTAGTGCTGAAAGATCTAAATCCTCACAAAACAATTTCTTTTACAACTACAGCCACCAGAGGGTGTCCACTGCTCTTTTTTACTATTTACAAGACACTGCAAACAACAACAGTCATGCTTCAGCTGACTTCAACAGCAGCAGGAGAGGCCAGTAATTACAATTGCCTCCCATTTAGAGTAAAAGCCTATAACTCACAGCCTGCTTCTCAGAATTCCTTTTTTGACATTCCCATGAACCCTGGTTCTTCTGTCTGAGAGTCTGCTTTGGTTAGGTACCTCCACTCACACATAGCTTAGCCTATTCCCCGCTCATGTTTGCCTGATCTCCCTGAGAGTCTCTACATGTCCAAAGCTCATCTGAGTATCTCTGAAGATTTCTGGCTCTACAAGTTTGTCTACATGTAAAATGCTGCAGCTGTGCTGCTGTAGTGCTTCAGTGAAGACACTACCTACATTGACGGGAGGGCGTAGATACTCCACATCCCTGAGAGGCAGTAGCTAGGTCGATGGGAGAATTCTCATCCTTCTATGCTGGGGTTAGGTAAATTTAACTGCATGGCTCAAGAGTGCAGATATTTCACACCCCTGAGCAACTTAGTTATTCTGACCTAATTTCCTACTGAAGACTAGGCCTAAGGGCTCGTCTACACTGGCACTTTACAGTGCTGCAACTTTCTCACTATGGGTTGTGAAAAAACATCCACCTGAGTGCTGCAAGTTTCAGCACTGTAAAGTGCACCAGCCCTGGGAGTGCAGCTATTCCCCTCGTGGAGGGGGGATTTTTATAGCGCTGTGCTGCACCTACACAAGATATTTGAAGAGTTGCTTTTTAGATGAAGCTAGAGTGCATTTACAAAGACTTCTCTAGCAGTGATCTGATGGGGACAGTTAAATTGGGCTAACACCTCAACTTATTTCACAGAACTGCCTGAATAGCCTTCAGATGGTCAGGATCTTCACTGACTGCTAAAATAAGCTGAATTGGCAGTTAAAATAAGATAACCAGATCACTTCTGCACAGTCTCACATACAAGTCCATTCCCAAGCTCATACTCATGTTTGCTCAATGCAGGGCTCACAGTCTCAGTGCTTTTCAAGCACCTTTCACCAGATGATCTATTCATATCTTCGCTTGAGAGTAGTGGGGCTCAAGCAAGGTGTGGGAGTAGTCATTTCCCTTTTAATTGCAATTGGTTGTCCTCCCCCGCACCTTGTACTTTACAATTTAAAAGGCTGGATTCTCAGGGATAAGTACTCCTGCACTCCAGGGGGAGGAACATAGATAAAGAGGAGACAGACCCACTGTCTTTTCAGAGGGGATGAGAAGAGAAAGGGAAGCAACTTTTATAACCTCTACCTTGTAACTTATGAAGGACCCTACCAAATTCACAGTCCATTTTGGTCAATTTCACAGTCATAGGGTTTTAAAAATAATAAATGTAATGGTTTTCAGCTATTTAAATCTGAAACCTCTCAGTGTTGTAATTGTAGGAGTCCTGACCCAAAAAGGAGTTGTGGTGGGGGGCACAAGGTTATTGTAGGGAGGGCTTGCGCTTTTGTTGGCAGTGGTGCTGCCTTCAGATCTGGGGAGCTAGAAGCCAGCAGCAGCGCAGA